AATAAGGTTAGGTAAGTTTTCTAAGATTCTTTTGGTGCAAAATTAAAATTTTTTATATTAACATTAATGAAAAAACATATCTTTAAACGTATAATAGAAAATTTCAGAAAGGACTAATTTTAAATGAGTTCTTGCTAATTGACCAGTTTTACATATTGGGCACGACATATATATATATACATATATATATATATATATATATATATATATATATATATTATATATATATATATATATATATATATATATATATATATATATATATATATATATATATATATATAGATAGATATATATCAATAAAATCACGAAACAAGTGATTTTAAATCATTTACCAAACTGCAGCAGGCCATGACTCGACCCTACGAACCTTGTACCGCCTCCAGAGACAGTGGTACGCATCACTTTACCACTACGTATTGGCGTAGTGGTAAGGTGATGCGTACATTGTGCTGTCTCTGGAGGCGGTACAAGATTTGTGGGGTGGAGTCCTGGCCTGCCGCAGTTTGGTAAATGATATACATACATATATATATATATATATATATATATATATATATATATATTATATATATATATATATATATATATATATATATATATATATATATATCTTCCTTTCAACGCACCAGCCGCATCCCACCGAGGTGGGGTGGCCCAAAAGGAAAAACAAAAGTTTCTCCTTTTAAATTTAGTAATATATACAGGAGAAGGAGTTACTAGCCCCTTGCTCCCTGCATTTTAGTCGCCTCTTACAACACGCATGGCTTACGGAGGAAGAATTCTTTTCCACTTCCCCATGGAGATAAGAGGAAATAAGCAAGAACAAGAACTAGAAAGAAAATAGAAGAAAACCCAGAGGGGTGTGCGTATATATATATGCTTGTACATGAATGTGTAGTGTGACCTAAGTGTAAGTAGAAGTAGCAAGATGTACCTGAAATTTTGCATGTTTATGAAACAGAAAAAAGGACACCAGCAATCCTACCATCGTGTAAAACAATTACAGGATTTCGTTTTACACTCACTTGGCAGGACTGTAGTACCTCCCTGGGTGGTTGCTGTCTACCAACCTACTACCTAGAATATATATATATATATATATATATATATATATATATATATATATATATATATATATATATATATATATATAATGTATACATATATATATATATATATATAAATATATATATATATATGTATATATATATATGTATATATATATATATATATATATATATATATATATATATATATATATATATATATATATATATATATATATATATATATATTATATATATATATATATATAGCTATGCTGTATGTCGTAATTATTTATTTATTATTTATTTATCTATGATTTTGCCTCTTCTTTCTCTGTTTTCTTCTTCTTCTTCTTCTTCTTCTTCTTCTTCTTCTTTTCTCTTGCCAAAATGCTTCAATTTCTCTACCTAATTACATTTCTTGTTTTCCTCCTTAACAAAAAGACTTCTTCTCCCATTTCTTGTTCTCCTAATTCCCATCTTTCTTCTTATCATACATGTTTACTCATCTTTTTTACGCGCGATTCTTTTCCATCCTTGTAGCAGATACAAGGCGGTGAAGATAAGGAAGATAAGAGAAGTTACTCTAGTTCATTAGAGATGCTGGGTTTAAGGTTTCCACCACTATCAATAATACCACCATTACCACCTCTAACACCACTACCACCACCACCACTCACGCCACCACCACTTATACCACTTCCACTTATATCACCACCATTTACAACACCATCACCACTGCCACCACTACCACCACCACTTACACCACCACAACCACAACCACAAACATCACCCACTACCACCACCATCACGAACACGCCATTCCAGTCTCTTATCTCTCGGTCCTTATAACCCCTTGGTTAGGCCTAGCGTACTAGGGAAGGCTCATCACTACTCCTGTAAAAACACACACACACACACACACACACACACACACACACACACACACACACACACACACACACACACACACACACACACACACCACACACACACACACACACACTTCAAATTCACATTCTTCCCTTACTCTATCCTCCTCTTATAACCTCTTTCCATTAGAAGCGACTCTCCCAATTTCTTGAAGAGGGATTCGATTCCCTTTCGCACTACCGTCTCCCCTTGCCTCCCCCATCCGTCTACCATTTCCCCTTTCCCACTCCTAAACTTTCTCCCCTTTCCTCTCCGTCGCGTAAATCCTGTTCTCCGCAGTGATCCTTCCTGCTCCCTCCGGGTCTCCTCGAGGTGTAGGAGTTGGGTTTCAGGAGGGTGAAGCTATTCTTATGGGTTTGCTGGTTATCTCACCCCTCGAGTTTTGCCGCTTTTTTTTGCGGTTTTGTTTATTTTTGGCGAATATTGCTGGTTTTGTTAAGTTCTGCTGAGTTCCGCCTTATTTTCAACTTTTTTTTTTTTTTGGTCGAGTTTTGCTGGTTTTTCCCCACGAATTCAGCTGTCTTTTAAAAGAGTTTTTTTTCTTTTATTGGGTTTTATTTTTGCGGGGTATTTTTTGTTTTTAGGATGGTATTATTTTTATCCTTTTTTTCCTATTTTTGTCGAGTTTAGATTTTTTGGGGCCTTTTTTTTTTTGTTTATTTTGTTTATTGGAATTCAATGTGGACAAGAATATGGGTAGATGGAATCCAGTGTAGACGGGAATCTGTTTGGTGGAGCTCAAATAAGACGGAAATCTAGTAGGTGGAGGTAAAATTAGAGGGGAATCTAGTAAGTGGAGCTCAAATTAGAAGGAAATTCTTGGAGAGGAAATTTAAATTAGACGGAAATCTAGTATGTGGAACTCAAATTAGACGGGAATCTAGAAAGTGGAGCTCAAAATAGACGGGAATCTAGCAGGTGGAGCTCAAATTAGACGGGAATCTAGTAGGTGGGGCTCAGATTAGGCGGAAATCTTGGAGGTGGAGCTCAAATTAGACGGGAATCCAGTAGGTGGAACTCAAATTAGACGGGAATTTAGAAGAATTTTTCAATAGACAGGGATCTGGGTAGTTGGGTCGAATGGCGAGAAATCCAGTCAGTGAGCGCCTATTGTGCATGTTATTGCCATCTCTCTCTCACTGTCCAACTCACGAGGAGGATAATCCGCAGTTATCCCGGGTTGATATCTCACGTAGCTGAAGTGAAGGAGACAATACAGACCGCGAGAGAGAGAGAGGATTCCTTGAATTTCTCGACCTGTTTGTATCTCTGCCTGTAATGGACACATACAGATCTGAATTTGGTGATGTTTTGAGTTACCAAAACTCGCCAGGTAACTGCATGGATCATCAAATCATTCCAGCAGAAACGAGGCAAAATATTTCTGTATAGTTTCTTTAAGAAACTCCTAAAAGTGAGCATGAATGGAAAAAAAAGGACAAAAACAGAATTGTATAAAATAAGAAGAGATATTTGTGCCCACAAGTTGCTCTTTCATTATACATCATGCTTAAGTTGTGCTGTCATTATTGCTCAGCCATAAGTTGTGCTTTCACTATGCATGAACTAAACCAAGCAAATGTCATGTAATTATACATTATTTTATTTTTTCCACTAAAGGAAAAAATGTCAAAAAGTCACCTGTGCAAAATTTTAGAATTCAGAAATTTCCCTCCGGGATATGTAACACTCTCGGCTAAATCTCTCACACGGTCGATAAAATCTCAATAAGAGTGACATGAAAAGTTGCAATTTAAGGTGGCGCCCCCACGAGCACCTCGGAGGAAAGGGTTATAGGTACCACTTAACCTTCTCTCTCTCTCTCTCTTTTCTTGACCCCCTTCTTTCTCTACTTGTCCTCTTCATTGGAGCCACTTAAATCTTTCTCTTAACGCTGAATACCGGTTCACCAGTACCACTTAACCTTTTCTCTTCCTCATGATCATATTGTACCCTTTCATGTAAGCCACTTACCCCTTTCTAAGTAGCCTGCTAGGCCAGTTGACTGGTGTCATTTTATCCGTTTCACCGGTGGATGCAGTGGACAAAATGGCAGACGGTGGTAACTTGAGAATGGAGGGTGGAGGTGGATGGGCGGCGGGCGGTGGGCGGCAGATGACGGACGGTGGACAAAGACGCATTCCCAGTTGTTGTAAACCTTATTATCTACTCGAGTAGATATTTGTCCATCCACTGCTACCACTGATGAACTTTACTGTATCATTATTATCATTAGTATCATGGGCAGGGCTCAACCACTAGGGATTATACAACGCTTGGGGGAGTGGGGGGGGGGGAATGGTATTCTGTCTTAATTCAGGGAATTGGAGCACAGATGGAATTACCTAGATCAAGAGCCCCTCACCAGCATCAAGGAATCCTCGCTGATGTTGTTGATAATTCTGCCTTACCAACGCACATTATTATTATTTTTATTATTATTATTATTATTATTATTATTATTAGTAGTAGTAGTAGTAGTAGTAGCAGCAGTAGTAGTAGTAGTAATAGTAGTAGTAGTAGTAGCAGTAGTAGTAGTAGTAGTAATAGTAGTAGTAGTAGTAGCAGTAGTAGTAGTAGTAGTAGTAATAGTAGTAGTAGTAGTAGCAGTAGTAATTGTAGTAGTAGTAATAATAATAGTAGAAGTAGTATTTCTTATTGTAATTATTACTTTTATTGCTGATAGTAGTTAAAGTAGTCATAGTAGTAGTAGTAGTTTATTCTCCTTCGTCTTCTTCTTCTAATTATTATTATTATTATTATTATTATTATTATTATTATTATTATTATTATTATTATCATCATCATCATCATTATTTATATCTCCATCATCAACGTCATTTTCGTTGTAATTTTCACATTTATTCACCAGAGTAATATTTTTTTTAATTATACTTTTTTCTTACCAATAAATAATCATTTTAAATAATGTGTCCATAAAATATAATTTCGCCCGTTCAATCTTCTTTTTTATTTCTTTGGCTGAAATAAATAAGAAAACTCTCGTTTTTTTTTCAGCATCTGGTGACCGGCTTCCGGTGAAGGTAAGCAACAGACCACGTTAAACGTTTTGCACTCTGGCAAGATTCCTGGTGGGTAATGAAACACAAAGGCAAATTGGGTGGTTTAATAACAACGATTGACTCATCTAGGGGTTTAATAAATTTGACCACAAGATTGCTATTCTTTTCTGTCTCATAAACATGCAATATTCTTTTACCATTATTTTCTTCCCTGTGTGTCTCTAAATACGCCTTACGATATATCCTTCCTAATCTAGGGGGCCTGGTCCGAGACCGGGGCGTGGAGGCGATGATCTCCAGACTAATTAAGAGAAATACCAGGTATACATGCTTTGAATTTGGATATTAATGGCGATCAATAGTTCGTTAGCCAAAGTATTCGCCTTACAGCCTAGAAAAAAAATCGTAGGTGTAATCCTTAGCAGGCCGAAGCGTATGGGCAGGTCTCTTTACGGTTTCCGTCTCTGTTTATATAGGGGTAAGTCAGTACCTAGGTGCTCGTCCCCTTACAGCTGCTATCCATGTTCTCCTAGCAGTTAATAGGGTGTTAGTTGACTGTTATGGGTGGTATTCTGGTGACGGCATGGTATAAAGATATTCTTAGAGCCAGGTTTTGAAATGAGATGAGTCAGGATACACTTTTTCATGTCACTGAGTTGAGTTAAGATAACAGCTCCTATCTTGTAAAATAGATGAGGCAAGATGAAAGCTTCAATAATTTTAATAAGAGGCAGGATAATAGCCCCTGAGAAGAGGCGGGGCCAGGAACTGTGACTCGACCCCTGGAACCACCACTAGGTGAGTACACACTGTGCGAAATTCAAAACCAATATTGCACATTTTTCTGGAATCTGAGTGGATAAAGGTGAAAAACAGAGCGCGTCAGAGAGAAGATCGACGTAAGAACGACATTTAAACGACGTTAGAACGACGTTTAAACGACGTTCATAAAAGGAAACTGTGAAGGAGGCGTCACGACGTGGGAAACCAGAGCGTGAACGCAGAGAGTCAAAACAATAAGGAAAGTAAGTTACAATTCTCTGTGTAATAAAGCTGGCGACAGGAGGGTGCAATTACCATCACACCGCAAGTCCGCTTCGCACCCTGTCCCTCCCTCTCCCACCTCTCCTTCTCTCTTTCTCTCCTTCCTTCTCTTTCTACCATTGTCTTTTTCTTTCAGTTTCTTTCTTCATCACTCGCTTTCTATCTTATCCTTCCCTCTCCGTCTTTTCCTCATACCATCTTTCCATCCGTCTCTTCTTTCTTCTCTCTTCTCCCTTCCTTCGTCTCTCCTCCTCTTTCCTCCCACCTCTGTCTTCTTCCATCCACTGTTAAAACTATCTCCAACACCAGCCTCCAATGTCAAAATTCTCTCCTACAACTGCAATACAAAAAATCCTACAACACTACCTACAACACCAAAGCTCCAAAGCCGCCCACAAGACCACAACACCCTACAACAACACCTACAACACCAGAATTTCAACACCGCCAAAACATCGAAATTTCCTCCGAATTTTTTCCCAAACTGAATTGTTTCACTTGTTGTTGAAGGAAAGATAAACTCAGTATGTATCTGATCTCTATCTCTGACCACTAGTTTTCTTCATTAGTTAGTTAACCATCCCGCAATAACAGCCTCGTCACTTTTCAGAATTGTAAACAACCCAGAATATGGAACAATAAACTGTGAAAACCGGAGGGATAGAGAGGGAGGAGATCGAGAAAGGATAGAGGGACTGAAGGAGAAAAGGAAAGAAGGATAGGCAGGGAGAGGGAGATTTAGTGGAAAAGACTTGAAAAATGATGCTCGATATCCAAGGATCATCGAAGCCATTATTTTATTCCTGGTATTCCAGACACGTTTCTTGTCTCGTCACACGTCTGGAGGAACAAAAGAAAGGCTGGCTCTGCCCCACGCTGCAGCAGCTGCTCAAGAACGCTCTGGCTGGAGATAGGGATTATGAGGATAGGCTAGAAAGGGAGGGAGAATATGGATACAGTCGTGAGAACGATGGAGAATAGGGGTAAACGCTAAGGTAAGAGGAGAAATGTTAAGGATGTAGGGTGCTAAGGATAGATGAGAAAGGGAGGGAGAACAAGAGATGTTATAAAGGTTTTGTCTTCTGTGTTTCCTCAGGTTTCGGTCTCTTCTCTGGTACTGCCTACACCCCCCTCAAGGAAGGTTCCTTGATGTTGGTGAGGGGCTCTTGATTAGGGAATTGGATCTGTGCTTCCAGTTCCCCGAATTAAGCCTGAATGCCTTCCACATCCCCCCCCCCAGGCGCTGTATAATCTTCCGGGTTTAGCGCTTTCCCTTGATTATAATAATAATAATAATAACTGCCTACACCAAAGTATCACTCAATAAAATTTAAACAAACAGGAGTCGTATTTAACAGTGTATTAGCTGCTAAACTTTGCATCTGCTGCTGAACGTTCTATTAACTACAGTCCAAGCTACAACACTTAAAACTTCGTACCAGCAGCTGAAGCAATATAACAGCTGCAGTAAAACAGTGTACAAGTTGCTGAAAACAGTAAGTTTAAATAATCTGTAAAATAGATTTTCGCACTGAAGCCGCTAGTTTACTGTGCCTCTCACGACCATCTTGTTGGCAGCGGCTAGTTTATCGTACCCCTCACAACCATCCTGTGGACGGTAGCATCTAGTTTATTGTGCACCTTGCATCCAATGGCAAGTTTATTGTGCACCTTACATCCATTCTGTGAACCGCAGCGGCTAGTTCATTGGTCACATCGTAGCCATCCTATGGACGGTAGCGGAAGAGTATAGGGATACACAACAGTCAAAGGAACTAGGCCTAGCAAAGGCTAACAGGAGTTCAATAATTATCACGCATTACATATTGTCATCATTTATCTATTAAAAGTTTATTTATTTATTCAGATTTCTGGTATTCAATTCTCCCCAACAAGAAACCTTGACACTATTTCGATGCTGACCAGTGTTTACGAAAATTACCATAAAGCTTACAGCATACTTTTCATTTAGTGTGATCATCGTCTGAGTATATGGCAGACATCCAGAAATGATTGTCACTGAGCCTGATTGTTATAACATCGGATTGTTTACTGTTGAAGTTGCTCTGTAAATGTTTTTACCTACACTAACTGTAAGAGAGATGTTGCAACGGTGAAACTGCTGTAGCGGTGAAGTTTTAAAAGTGTTTTTGGTGTCTCTGTTTCATTCTCCCTCGCCCTTTGTTGATCTGGGCTGTGTTCTTGTGTGTGTGTGTGTGTGTGTGTGTGTGTGTTGTGTGTGTGTGTGTGGTGTGTGTGGTTTGTGTGTGGTGTTGTGTGTGTGTGTGTGTGTGGTGTGGTGTGTGTGTGTGTGTGTGTGTGTTATACTCACCTATTTGTACTCACCTATTTGTGGTTGCAGGGGTCGGTTCCTAGCTCCTGACCACCTCTTCACTGGTGTGCTACTGGGTCCTCTCTCTCCCGCTCCATGAGCTTTATCATACCTCGTCTTAAAACTATGTATGGTTCCTGCCTCCACTGCATCACTTTCTAGGCTATTCCACTGCCTGACAACTCTATGACTGAAAAAATACTTCCTAATATCTCTTTGACTCATCTGTGTCTTCAACTTCCAATTTGACCTCTTGTTTTTGGTCCCCTCCCTGGAACATCCTGTCTTTTCCACCTTGTCTATTCCGCGCAGTATTTTATATGTCGTTATCATGTCTCCCCTGACCCTCCTGTCCTCTAGTGTCGTCAGGCCGATTTCCCTTAACCTTTCTTCATAAGACGTTCCCCTAGCTCTGGAACTAACCTTGTCGCAAACCTTTGCACTTTCTCTAGTTTCTTGACGTGCTTTATCAAGTGTGGGTTCCAAACAGGTGCTGCATACTCCAGTATGGGCCTGACATACACGGTGTACAGTGTCTTGAACGATTCCTTATTTAGGTATCGGAACGCTGTTCTCAGGTTTGCCAGGCGCCCATATGCTGCAGCAGTGTGTGTGTGTGTGTGTGTGTGTGTGTGTGTGTGTGTGTGTGTGTGTGTGTGTGTGTGTGTGTGTGTGTGTTTTACAAACACTCCCACACCCTTAAAACCGGTGCTAAGAATTTCGAGGGGAATGAAAGGGGGGGTAACTAATGCATACATGAACCCTTTATTCTCTGACGTATTCTCTTTATCCTTCAATTTTTAACCAAAACAGAAAAGCAAAAGCCAAAATTCAGCTTTTCATATCTCTTGAAAATTTGCATACAAGGCGGGAGGCTGAGGAATGGCTCCTCCGGCTTTTGTATCTTTATTTATTCTCTTCACGACCCTCCGCCAAACCTTCTTTCTTGCTTATGACACTAACGGGGAGTTTTTCAACCTTCTAGGGAGAGATCCAATTTGCGGTCTTATGTGCTGGAGACCGAGAGAGGGAAGTCCTTTGTCTCCTTCTCTCTGGGCTCCAGGGATTGACGTTCCCCATGGATGTTGCTGTTTGGGGGGAGGGGAAGGAGTGTATGGGAGAGTGAAAGGGAGAGTGGAGAGTAGAAGGGAGATGAGTGAGAGGAAGAGGGATGGTTGGAAGGGAGAGGAATGAAAGTGAAAACGAGATGGAGTGTTAAAGGAAAAGAGTGATGGAATATTTTTAGCTATATTCATTCATTACTTTAATTTTCTTGTGAAAATATAAATAAGAAAACCAATCATGTAGGTCCAATGACAGCCAAAAAAAATCAAAACTGAATAGACACAAACCTGACGAACACTAAACTCGGAAGGCGATACACTTTTTGTTGTTTACAGAAACCAGTTTTGACTTGCAGTAATTTTCTGCCCCAGTGAACTATTAGGATGGAATGTCAAATTTGAACTTTTCCTTGAGGCTGACCATCGCATCGGATCTGTCCTTCAGGGCCAAGATCTCGAATTCTTGTTTAGCTGCTCGGGGAAAAAACGCCGAGGTTATGTACTGCCACCATTGTGTCACTAAGTTTTGCACAATCCAGAGAGGCTGCCACTTCCTGGTAGCAATATTCAAGGACTGACTT